GAAATTGTGTTTTGCACTCAAAACTTTTATCAAAATTAGTGTAAGTGATTCTGAGTAGTTATAATATGGAAAACAGTGCAACATCAGAGGAGTCATATAAAATATGTGACACCTCTCCATAACATAGTATACTATACCTGCAGTAACTATGTGAGCCCAGTCCCTTCACAGCTCCCATCCAAGAAAATTCAAACCCCCTCCAGTTGAGACAGCTGTGGCCTTTTGCCGACCTGGAAACATGTCCCCTGTAACTGCTCCCGTCTCCAGACAGACACACATCTGTAGATCACAAGGCAAAGAGAGAGATCAGTGAACACATCTGGTGACATATAAATGATTATTAAGTTTCACATGGAGAGTTGGTTTTACCTCCATAAGTCTCTTTATGTTTTGGAGACGATCTTCTTGAGAAAGCCTGGGAGGAACACACACAAACTCAGTCACACATATTTAATAAAACCATCTGAATCTTGGTAATACCCATCAAGTTGCTTCCTCATATTGTAACTTACCGTGTGAACACTGAATGCTGCATGGAAAGCAAGGATGAGGAACAGGTTCATATTTAGTGCTGGTCTCACTTCTGCTTACTGTGGATATTTCTGTCTGAGAAAAGTTTGTGAGACAATGAGATTTAAAGCTGCTCCTTATATGGAGTTTATCATCAGGCACATGACAGGACAGAAACAAGTGTGACTTGTCTGGGTTCCTCAGTTCTCACAGTGTGACCTGGTGATTGTGTGTCTGCATTTAATGCAGAGGGAAAACGGTTTTAATGTGAGAGGAGCAGATAGAGCATGCTCACTGAGAGCACCGTGTGCTGTAAACACAATCCTTATCTGTGCAGTGAGAGCAACATCAATTAAAATAGTAGATAACTGCAAAGCACATTCACATTCATTCAAACATTGAATTTCTAGATATTTCTCAAGTATGAACATGAGTAGAACAAAAGAAAATGGCTTTATGCTTAAAAATGTACAATTGAATGCTCATTTTCTGACAATAAACACTTATAAATACATCATTCTTTTCAAAAAGTAAACCAAACTTTCATAGTCTGGGAAGCTTTGTTGGTAATATAGTGTACCTTCTGTTTAAACGTGCAGTCCTGATGAGACTCTGAGTTCCAGCTGAAGCGTCTTCTCTGTCTCCGCTCTCATGCACCTGACTTGTGGAAGCACTCACTCTTCTGCTGTTGCACTGCTGATCCTCCTCTCATTTAAAAACACACAGGCTACACGTGGGAGTGGTTAATGAGGAAGATAACATCACCAACAATGAAACAAAGAATTTGTCACGTCCTGTGACACATCCTCCTTTAGACCACAATAATACACTTTTATCCAAAATAGGCAACATGTATGATGAAGCTGTGGAAGAGATCAACCCATTTAAAGGTAGAATGACAGGGTTGAGACAGTTTTACATGAATAAAACGTCATTTGTGAACATGGTATATTCACCATCAACAAAAGACCAAAATCATCAGTAAATGAAGCAAATTCATGTTGTAAATTGGCATCAGCTCAAACTGGCATTTCATTACTTGATCCCTTGATTTCCTCCCTAGAAACTGTGAAATTAGAACATATTGTTACATATATATTTTGAATCAGCTTGGAGCAGTGATCCTGATCTGTCATTTTGCTTGTCTGCGTTGATTTCCACACCGCCAAGAAGAATGAAGCATAAGTCATGACACAGCTGCAAAATAATTGAATTATTTTACTTTACAAGTCTATACTTTAAAGGTACAGTGTGTAAAATGTTGTGATATGTAGTGTTGAAATTGCATGTTGCAGCTGAACACCCCTCACCTCACCCTCCACTTCCAAACATGAAAAAGAACCTGTGGCAGCCTTCGGTTGTGATAAAAATTCAGAAGGTGTTTAGTTTTTTCAGTCTGGACTAATGTAAAAAACATGGCGGCCTCCGTAGAGAGGACCTCCTTCATGTAAATATAAAGTATTTAAATATAAATGGCGTTAAAGACAACTACAATTCATACAATTTAGAGTAGTAATCCTGATCTGTCATTTTGCTTGTCTGCATCGATTTCCACACAATAGACCTCCATTAAGGAAGTGAGGTTTTCACCCCAGTCTGACTGTTACTTGGAGCAAGATTATGCAAAATCAATGACATGGGTTCTCAGGAAACCTTTTGGAAGGATGTGGTTGAGCCGATCTAGGAATTTTCTTTAATCTCTTTTTATTAATCATTGTGTTCGTTTTTTTTAGATTTTAACTGATTTCCAAGGCAATAATCGATGGATCGTGAAAAAAACTGGCATTTTTAGGGAACTGTATTAGGGAAATCTATGAGCGTCTATTAATGTTATCAGGTTATGTCCTTTTGCATATCTTTTCTCTTATTTTAAGTATTTTTACTGTGTGATTTCACATTTCTACTACTACTACTGCTACTGCTACTGCTAATAATACTACAAATAATAATGCGAATAAGAATAATAAGATATAAATAAAAAAATGATGGATACTGTACTGATTACATAATGCAATCTCTCTTCTTTAGAAGATTATATCAAAACTGAAAGTATACAGCCTCCTGAATCATCTGTGGGTTATTACATGCAGATTGCTGCATTACTAATAAACACTTCTTGGAAATTCATTTCCAGACCATTTTAAAAGTCATTTCCAGACATGAAACCATGTAGCAAGGCTTTGTGATGGGATGTCCTGCATGCATGACGCTGAGAAGAATGAAGCATAAATCATTAAACAACTGCAAAATAATTGAATTATTTTACTTTACAAGTCTATAATTAAGTCCCACACAGGTTTTTTACTGAATGAAGACGTACGTATTACACAGAAATGAATATGATCCATATCTATTTATTTTTAGTCTGATCTAATGTAAAATTAGAATTGACCTCAAGATTGTCCAGTATCTTGAGCAGTGAGGTTACTAATTTAACACCAACAAGGAAACTAATTCTATTCTAAATCGTTTTGAATCTTGATCATTAAAACTTGAAGTTGTGTGGAAAATGTTTCATGTCAAAGTCTGCAAGACATTTTAGGATTCCTTTTTAAATGTTCTAACCGTACTTCACTTGAGATGCTGTTCAGAGAAATGTGCTGGAAACCACAGACACCTCATTTTCACACCTGAGACTTTCACACTTCATCACCAGTTTTTAAACCCATGTTTTCACACTCTATATCAAATCATGCTTTACACGGAACTGAACACAATTGCATTTAAAAGAAACTGAGCAGCCGACTTTTTTAAAGCAACTACTAAGGCTGGTACTTCACCCTAAAAAGTAGAAATTGTGATCTATTAATTACTCTCAGCCTGAACATAAAAATATATGTATTGATTCTGTTCAGGTGCACCTTGAACTTGTTTCTCCAAACAACAATCTGATAATACTGACATAGTAAAATAAATATCAACAATTTCAAAGAATTGCTTCATTATACATATACATATAGCAAATTGATTAAATATATTTAATATTTAAATAGGATAATGTCTTACAATGGGATCCGATGCCTGCCTTGCTTCACAAATTCAACAACAGATGCAAAATGGTCAAAGATAGATGCAGTTGATATTATCACATGTGTGATTTTCAGATGTAAGTAAGCACAGGGTCAACGGTGCAAAGAAAAGTGTGGAGTTGTGCAATTATATATCAATTATATATAAAATACAGTAGGCCTATATAGTATGGTAAAGAGAGAAAAAGCTACAGTAAATAAAGATGTAATTTAAATACTAATGTACAGCACTCGAGTAAATGGACTTAGGTGTTTTGCAGCATTGGGGTAAACTAACTCAAAGTTGACAGTCAAGTTTCTTGATGAAGTTCTTTCCTTCATTCTGTGACTGAAACAACAGAACCTGGGTGTACGGCGCCATCTAGTGACAAAATGAGGACGTTTTAATATTCCTTACCTGCTGCTGCTTTAATGATATAGAACAGGAACATGCTCACTCATCAGTCTGGTTTATAGAACGCCCTCAGACTGTGTTTGCTGGTGGGTGTGGATGTGGGTGGCTGCTGGGAATCCCCCCCCCACAGAGGGAGCAGTCCTGCGGCCTCAGCTCCATGCCTCTGTCCGCCGCTGCCAGGACCAACGCGCATGCGCAAATGCACAGCTCCCGTCGCCTACTTTCATTTTTAACTCTGCGCAGATTTTAGCGGCCGCTTTTAGCTTCATACAAGAAACTGCAACAACACAGCAACAGCACAAACTTCCACCATCGACACGCGTTCGAGGGATCGTTGAGGCTGAAGGTGTCGATTCAACCTGGAAGACAAGAGGAAGGAGGAGAAGAGACGTAAACAAGACGTGGAGCTAACTGAAGCAACAATGTTCTGACAACTCAGGCTAATCTCGTCTGGAGGCAGGTGAGAGGAGAATGTTTGTGTCGTGATGTTTTGTTGTTTACGCAACAAAATCTGGTTTTCATGTGACAAAAGAGCAAGAAGAACGATCACTGCATCACAAAGTACCAACCAGTGACCTGTTTGCAGAATTTCAGATGTTGACACTTGATTTAGCTGATTATAAATGAGGAACATTAAAGTGCTTAAAATGCTGCTTTAATACCTTTCTAAACACGAGATGGCAAATATAAACTTAAAGGAAGGACTATGTTTTAAAAATATAAGATAAGACAAAGATGAACCCTTTGACACAGCAGCACGGGGTGTAAAATATAAGAATATGACTAAAAATAGAATTATTGTATACAAAATCAGTTGAAATTATATATACAATGCTGATTTTCTAATGTGCAAAAGAAATGTAAGTACACGCGTTAAGTAATGGTGAAATGTCTCCAGATTCTGTGTAATATGTGCAGCAGTCTTTGTTGAATTATAGATTTTGCGTGGCATATAGCAGTCTGATGGCTAAAGCACCAAGGAGCCCCTCAAGCAAAAAGATTTAATGCATTGTAATAAATAGGGTGAATCTGTGGAAATATCTTGAGGATGAGCTGGGTGATAAAACAATATAATTACAGTCAAAATATAATTTTAGGTTTGATATATTATCTATATATCGCCTATAACACATTGGCAGTTTTTTTACTGTCCTTTACAGACTTCCTCCTTTGCCCTGTGGCTCCAGCAGACCTCGCACCTCAGTATGGAGCGGACGGCACTCAGGCAGAGCCAGGTCTGTGGCTCCTGGGAGAAGAAGGAGCGGCTCGGGATGGGAGGCTTTGGGCACGTCTACCTGTACCAGCACCTTGTACGTTCGGTCATCCACCTGTGCATCAAGCAGATATTTAACTCCAGGCCCAGATCTGTGTTTCACCTGTTTTTTTTTATGTCCTGTCTGTGTTTGGAGCAGGAGTTGGGAGAGAAGATCGCTGTGAAACTTTGCCGTCTGGAGCTAAACGCCAAGAACAAAGACCGCTGGGGCAGAGAGATCCAGATCATGAAGAAGTCAGTGTGTTTCCCTGTTTATAGTTTTTAATTTTTTCCTTAATCTAGCTGAGGGTGAATGACAGTGGGTGTCGCACCTTGTAAAGCCCTATGAGACAAATTGTGATTTGTGAAAAGAGGCTATACAAGTTCAGTTTGAGTGATGGATTGAAATCATATGCTTGTGTTTGCAAAGTAGTTCATAGATAATTTCACTGTACATTTTCCTCCAGCTACCTTTTTGGCTCCCCTTCTTTCACAGACTGAACCATGTGAACGTTGTTGAGGCCAGGGAAGTACCAGAGGAGTTGAGCGCCATTGCTGTAAATGACCTACCTCTTTTGGCCATGGAGTACTGCTCAAGAGGAGACCTACGCAAGGTACCAAACTGATAAATGATAAAACCTCAAAATAATGTCTTTGTCTTTTTAAACACTACACAATTAACCTGTCTACCTCTGAATTTAGGTGTTGAACAAACCAGAAAACTGTTGCGGGTTAAAGGAGAGTGAAGTCCTCTCGCTGCTCAGTGACATCGGTAATATTTCCCTCAGCTTTTACTTTTTTAAAGTCCACTTGAAAGCACATTTTAAATCTTGGAATCTTTTTTCTAACAAACATAGGTTCTGGTATCCAGTATCTCCACGAAAACAAGATCATTCATAGAGACCTAAAGCCAGAGAACATAGTTCTTCAGGAGGTTGGTGGAAAGGTGAACTAAATTCTTTTTGTACATGTATACAGCCTGTGTATTCTCCTGTATCGTATATCATTACAGTACGGATAATGTTTATACATTTCTGTGTCTTGCTCT